TATCGACCTAAATGAACTAAAATAGGTACTCTAGACGAACTCCAATTAGGCATGGTGCCATCTACATCCAGAAAATGTATGGGGCCATTACGAATGCTGCTCAATCGATGATCAGCCCTGCGTGCCCTGTGAATTGCTGGCACATTACAGCGAACGCACTAAAAAAATCAAATTACGCCAACATGCATCCTCGAGCGTCAATCCAGACCTACCCGAGACACGGCTACGGAGGTTCAGCTTGGTCTTTTAAGATGATGAACGGTTTGCGCTGGCTTCAGGTGCCTTTCGGTGCAGAGTTTCTTGAGCGGGTTTACTGCTTTGCCAAAAACAAAATGCGCCCGCAAGAGCCCCCGACATACCATCCGTGCACTTTATAGCATTAATCGGTCGTGCAGAGGGCTAGTTGCGCGCAGCCCGACCGCCAGAGCTTCGGTGTGGCTCTAATTGACACTCGATAGCGGCCCCACGACGTCTGGCTTGGTCCCAACCTGGTGTTACTCAGTGAAATATACTCACAATTAAGTAGCACCGTTGCCGAGTCCACATTGAGGTCCAGCGCACTGTTGGTTGCTTGCGTACAAACAACGAAGAGTTCAAAAGGATGGCTTAGTGGTGGGTTACCTGCTACACGCGAGGAAATTTGCAAAATGTTAATGTCTGGCTTGCAAGCACCTACATTCATGTTATACCAATAGTCGTCACCTCGGAAATTGTAAATACTCGAACAGTTACCAGTAGCAGGCCTCAACCCTCGCATGTAGCATGATTTACCATGGTTCAGGTAAGTGAACGCGTGCCCAGGACGAGTCCCAACACCGCACATATTGCGCTGGAGGCCCGCGTTGCCATCCCAGCACTGGACCAGTGCAATGGGGAGACACCTTGGTCCGCCGACTGCTGATTGGCTAGATTCCCTGTACCCACCCCTGTCTGTGCATCCCCCAGAAAACGTCCATGCGCTCAAAGACGCCACATCGTTTTGTGCTGCTCAGGGAGGTTGCTGTGTTGGTACGATCTTACTGTGTTTCTACAGCTTTGTTGTGCCGTCACGGCACTGTTGTGTGGATTTCACGCGTTCTAACCAATTAGGCATTATTACATAATCGGGCCAAAATGCATAATTAAAGTTTGCTGGGAATGCGTAATTCAAGGAAGAAAACGACGGTAAATGCTGGTACAATTTGAATCAACGGCGACAATAGTGTTCTTTGGCATGCGATTGGACGTTGAAGTGATCCAAGATTCGCTTTCGATGTCCTTGAGCAGCTCGCTAAGTAAGCATGTTACAACGTCAACTTGTGAGTTCAAGGGCGTTTATTCATTAGTCTGATGCTCCTAGTGCTGGACGTACCAGGCGTAGCTTGCGAACGACATGTGGCCCATCCCCCACCCGCCGAACAGCTTCTCGGCCTCGGGTTTGTTCTCCTCCATGCCTGCTCCAGCGGCGGCGACGAACGGGACGAAGTGGTCTGGTGTGGGGTGCGCGAGTCTCGCAGCAGGGGCGCTCGGCCAGTCAACGATCTGCTCTCCGCGTTTGCTGCACCTCAGTGAGGAGTCGGACGTGAGCGTGTTGTCGAGCAAGCCCTGGAACGCCGCGGCCCACGGCATGAGCGGGTTGGTGGGCTCGCGGCTCGCGCGCATGTTGTGCGTGGCCTGGCCGGAGCAGAAGATGAGCGTACCCTCGTCACGGAATGGGGCGATGGCCTTGCCGAGGTCGAACTGCGCCTGGTTGCCCAGCCGCGAGTTGATGGACATGGTGAGGATGGGGATGTCCGCCTCGGGCCGGATCAGCAGCATCAGCACGAAGACGCCGTGGTCGAAGCCGCGGTCCACGAGCTTGGCCTGGATGTTGCTCTTCTCGAGCTGCTCCTTCACCTTCCGGGCGAACGCGGGGTCGCCCTTGGCCGGGTACACGACGTCGTAGGCCTCGCGCGGGAAGCCGTAGTAGTCGTAGATCATGTCGGACTCCCAGTGCGCGGAGATGAAGAGGATTCGCTTGGGGGGGGGGTCTCGCCCTTGGGGTACAGCTTCTCGAACGTCGTGGTCAGCGTGCGGCCGGGCAGGCTGCTGTTGCTCATGCCGGCGAAACCCGACGAGAGCAGCCACAGCGGATCGGGGCCGTGCGAGACGGCGACGACGGGGTGACCAAAGGTGGTCATGGTGTGGCGCCTTGGGCTTTATGGTCAGCACATTGAGGAATGACCAGACACCTCCTCACCGTCTCAAGTGCTCAGCTTTGGTTGACGGTTTGCGTTAACTTGTCCTCCCGTCGTGAAGACACGCGCTCGTAGCGTTATCCGGTCTTCATTTAACAGGCCAACGCGAATGCGAAAGGCTCCATTGTGGATTCGTGATCAAGTCTGCGTTAGCAGGCTCACTTGCTCTGCTGTTTTGAAGGCTACAAGGCCTCAATCTCCATTTCTCTCGCTACAGCGCACGCACAGCCAGCTTCAGGTATCGTACCGAACCCGAATCATGAACAAGTTCCGCCAGCCTGTGGTCGCCGTCTCACATGGTGCTGGCTGCTGGACGAAGGATTCGTGGGTCTGGACAAGCACTCCCAGTCGGCCAAGAACGTGGCCGCCATCTTTAACAAGATCTACTCGAGCGACGTCCAGTCGCCCAAGCGCATCCTGTTCGTGTCGGCGCATTGGGAGGCACGCAGCACCGGCATTGAGATCTCCAAGCCCGCCGCGCCCGAAATGTTCTACGACTACAGCGGATTCCCCGCCGAGTCCTACGAGCTCGTGTACGGGGCGAAGGGCGACCCTGTCTTCGCCTCGAGAGTGAAGGGGCCGCTGTCTCAGAGCGGCATCGCCTCCAAGCTTGTGGACCGTCCGTTCGACCACGGCACGTTCGTTCCCATGTTCTTGATGCGTCCGCAGGCCGACATCCCCATCGTCACCATGTCCGTCAACTACCGCATGCTCAATGCAAAGGACCGCTTCGAGCTGGGCAGGGCGCTCGCGCCACTCCGCGACGAGGACACTCTGATCATCACTTCGGGCCAAGCCACACACAACATGTACGCGGACTGGTTCCCGGAAGACCACCCGATCGAGCCGTGGGCGCTCGAGTTCCAGAACTGGCTGGACCAGACGCTCTCGACGGCTTCCACGCAGACGTACAAGGAGCGCATGGAGGCGACTGTCGCGTGGAAGAATGCACCGCACGCCTCGGTCTGTCACCGCACTCCCGATCACTTCACGACGTTTGTGGTCGGGGCAGGTGCCGGCATGGAGGACAACCGCCCCGCTGCGAAGAAGCTCAACGGTGGGTGGGGCTCGGTCACACGTCGTATGCTAACTACGCCTGGGGCGTTTGAACACGCGGACACGCTGGACGTAACACTAATAAATGATATATCTCGGGCAAACTAATGGGATATGCATTGAGCCTTCAAACTCTTATCTATTCTATCGAGTTCATAGCAGCACTGTGACGTTCAATCGCCACAGATCCGACCACAAGAACGTCGAAGGGAACACCAACCTGGCCGTATCCTTCACTGTGTGGCCGTGCACTTCGTACGCGTAGACGTTCGTGAAGCGGGAGTCCTGCAGTTTGATCATCACAATCGCCCACAAGTCCTTCGAGCTCACCAGATACTTCTCGTTCACGATCACGTAGCCAGAGCAATAGACCCCGTCTGCGGACGCTTCATGCCTTTGAAGAAGACGTAGTTGCTGTAGTCGGAGATGAGTCCGAAGCGCGTCTGCAGCATGGATCCCATCGATATCTCGAAGTTGGTGACGATTCCCCTCTGGGTCAGCGCACTCCGCTCATTCGCCGAAGAGTTCGCTGATGTGTCCGTGCCGATACTTGATCGCTGTCGCACTTGATCCGGCCGGAAGAAGCGATAAATCTTGCGCAGGATGGCAAACACCGTGATGACGCCCATGAGGAAGATCGTCGGCGTGTAAGACGCGGTGAGGAACTTGGCGTTCAATTCCGGGAACTCGAACGACGTCCACATGCGCAGTGGGGACATGTCGGCAACAGGGCTCCCGATTAATGCATAGTGCCATACATTAATGTACATTTTTGTGCTCCCATTATGTATGGGGGCGTCATCGATATAGGGCATTATTAATGTATTGTCGGCAGCCTGGGGGGCAATACAAAAATGTGCCATATCTTTCGAAAACTGGACAACTGCGTTAATAGGACACTGGTAGCATGCCCTCTTGAGGCCATAGACCACGATTCTGTCGATTCTAGGTCGATAAGCACTGAAAAACTCGCCCCATTAATTTTACCATTAATGTCCATAATGTATGGGTGCTTGGTTTCGTGGCTCATGCCATAATTTATGGGGGGGCTTAAAAAATGACGTGCGATTAATGCCATTATCGGGAGCCCTGGTCGGCAATGACTGGGATTGGCTTTGCAATGCCGACTTTGTACTGGGAGGCGAAAGATGCCCAAGTTGAAAGCTAAGGCTACAGGGTTCATTATCAACAGTACCATACATGTATCGAAACACGAATGGATGAAGGAAATCGGATCTCTTTGACCAAACGAAGGAACTAGGACATATCGGGTTAGTACAAACCTCCCTTCCGCAAAATATCGACGGCAACAACTGAGCGAAGTGAGGTCGACGACTTGCAGTCTCACCGCAGCTTCGTAAATAGCCCTATACTTCGCTTACACAATTTCATGCAGTGTGTTTCTTATGGTAGATGAATGCTTTCATATGTGATCGTTCTGCGTGCACTTGATGTTTCGTGACATAGTCTCCTTCGTTTCAAAATTCCCAATAAGTCGGCCCTCACAATTGTATCAATAGCTTCCAAGTGCGCAATTTCTTTTGACCGAGCCAGAACTAGTGCCTCAAGGCACTAGGCTGGCCCATGGTGGAGTCCTAGCCTTGTTTACCAGATCGGCAGTACTATATTTTATCGATCGATCGTAATTTGGAACGATGGCTTGCCTTGAGACCAGGAGACGTTGGTTGCCTCTAGCGGAGATTCGCCTGAGGCTGAAGGTGCCCGCATTGTGTAAATGGCTCAAGTAGAACTACAGTACAATTCTTTCGCATTTGCCAGACTACAGGATGCAATTCCTAACATGAACGCATCACTTCCCAAAATTCGCCCCGGCACAATTCGCGACCTTTCGCGAAAGTTACTCAAACTCAGTAAGCTGCGACAAACTGATCCTGATTCAATCCAAACTCAGTGAGCTGCTCCATTATAATATATACAAATCAGAATATTACACCGTAATGTACTTGGTGAAGTTATATTAGACACTCCCGCCATATCCACCCCAAATCGGGTGGTAAATTGGGAGCATCAACCTTTATGCTTTAATGCGTTGAAGTTGGTTGCAATCACTTTTCATCACGACTCGGAAGTGTCAAATTAGTCGAAGAGCACGACGTTCCAAGCGCGAGGATGATAAAGACACTCGTGGAGCCGGTGAAGAAGGAGAGGGCGAGGGGCAGCTCGGTGGATTCGACAGCGCTCACGCACGAGGGCGAGTTCATCACTGTGCACTTTAGGGGCAAAAAGCGCGAGTGGAAGTGGCAGTACTTCAATCTACTACGCCGACTCACCGCCATCGCTTCTGCGGGGCTGTACGTGTACTTCTCTGTGGTGTAGTGATTTGGCGGTAAACGAGAATCGAGCTGACGACCAAGCTTCAGTGGCGACCCGAGTCGTCGGGACATGTTCAGCAATGTTCGTCGGATGCTGATTGGCCATTCTAGACCGGTGCCGAAGACTCGTCGACACCCAAGTTCGAGATCCAGGACTTCAAGTACGATCCGAACTTACAGCGAACTTTGACCCGAGATCCGCACTTAAGACGACCGTTCGAGCCCCGGCGACTGCTCCAAGTCTTCATCGTCCAATAGAGTCATCGAGAGGCCTCTTGGGGCGTCGGGGAGGCTCTGAAGGGTCGGTGGTTACTTGGGAAGATCCAAAACGGACGCGTTTATACTAGATATTTGTATTGAACCATAGGAAAGAGAAGATAGAACAGATAAGCCCTTTGGGCAACAAGAACAGAACAGCTTTTCCTCCCAACCACTCAAGGAAGACGTCCGGGCTATCGGTGAGTTCCCGTAGCAATTGGATAAACCTGTTGGTAGGATTATGACTACGCCTGCTAGTATCGTAGCGTGCGTTTACCCGTGGTCAGGCCAAGAGTAGTGAAGAAGTGGCCGTGTATACGAAGGGCGAGTCATCGCCGTGTAGTGGAGGAGCGAGAGCGCACTCCATTTATCCTTCCCGTCGGAGTATAGCTCCGGCACCCTCGTATCAAGCCGTGACTGGCTGGGACCCTTCCTTCCTGAGGGCCTGCGAGGTTTATATTGTGTGTGAGAGCGTGTCAGCCTTTGCTCGTGGCTGGTGACGCTGGGTTTCCGTCAGTTGACTAAGCGGAAACACGGTGCACAGAGGAAACATCAACCCGGTGCAAGGGAAAGTTCCTGGGCCTTCAGGTTCTATTTTCCACATCGCCAAGGGACTGCGGGAGGATGCCACGAGTGCCATCATCGCGCTAAACAGGTTTTTCACGTTTCACGCTATGCCCATGGAGGTGGATATCTACGCTGCGACGATGTTGCACTTATTCTTGAAGGCTCACGCCCGAAAAGTGCCGTGGACAGCCTTTGTGAAGGAAGTATACAAAGCGAAGCACGGCGCGGCAGCCGCTGAACGTCTCACGGCTGCCTCACCAGAACTCGGAGTCCTGAAGCGCCACCTCGTCAAGGCAGAAGGTGAACTACTGGAAGGTTTACACTACTAAGTATGACGTAACTGGTGAAGACCCCTACGCGTTGCTGGACCTCCTCACAACTCGCAAGAGCTCGAAGAAACTAATCTCACTGTCTCAGAACGGTTTTACTCAACAAGTAACTCCGTTTCTCTCCTCGCTGCCTCCGCCGGAGGTGCAGAAAGAAGCGAAGCATTTGGTCGCGGAGGCTCTTCCGTTGCCTATTTGGACGCATACTCCGGTGGAATGCGTTATGCTCAGCGTTGTGTACGTGAGCACTGCTGTTACAGAGGCGCTGAATCCTAGCTCAGCCTCTCCTATTGCCAGAATGCCCGATTTTTTGCCGCAGCTGGACTTGCAAGCGAACGCTGCTGAGGCACGAATGCTGCTGGAGTGCTCCTTGTCGATCTGCACTCCGCTGAACGATCGATGGCTGCGCCTGGAGAAGCAGTCAAAGGCATCACTGCAGCAAAAGCAAACGAAGGATTCTGACTCCAGTGAATTCGATATGGAGCAGTTTGTTGTCTCCAAAGACAAGAAAGATGTGGAGATTTCTGAGCGGATAGCTCGGCTTTTGAAGCTTTGGATTAACGTACCTGCTACCCCGATGGTTCCATCGGTACTAAGTGTAACACCCGCTGCACCACCGGTTACCGACGGGAATGAGGAGCTTTGCGCCAACAATTCCTACACAGAATGGAGTGAAGAACTTCATCACGCTCAAGGCAATGGGCAGCTCAGTTCCAGTGCCTAGCACTTCTACCGGTCAAAATTGTGAAGCGGAGAGTGTCATCTCGGCGTTGTCTATTTTCCCGAAAAAGTCTGCAGCTAACGACGCGATTGTCGGCGATACGCGCTTGCACACGGATGAGATTGTCAAGGTCGAGTCTATCCGGAAACGAACCTTCTTAGGCGTCATCTCTAGTGAGGTAAACTTGGATTTGGCCGGACAACCCGTGTACCTGCAGTCGTGGCCATACCTTGAACAGGAGGTGTTTTTCACTGAAGAGAGGGGCATCAACGAGGCGTGTCTACGTGAGCTGTCGGCTGCAACAACTCTCTCCTCGCTCTTACCCGACCGATTTATGAAGCTCTATGGAATTATCTTCCCTGCTGATAGGAAGGACCGTCAGACAAACGACTCGGGAGCTGCTGGCAGCAAGTCATCATCTACGGCGGTCGACGTTGATGAGCTTGATCTGCTCGCAGCCACTATTGATGACGATGGCAACCCACTTCCTGAAGGAATGGACCGGTTAACACGGCAGAAGCACTACTTGGCTTTCGAGCAGCCGCTTCACATGTTCTCGGGAATTTTTGGAGCCCACCCTTCACTTACACCGGAGCTGCGCAAGAAGGCCATCTTCGATATGCTTCAGAGTCTTTCTGCTGTTCACGACCAAGGTTACGTCCACCGCTTCGTTGCTCCCTCACATCTCTTGGTGTTCAAGAACGGCATTAAGCTCGGTGGCTTCCATGCGATGCGGAAGATCGCCAATATCAAGCCAAAGGACGGTGAAGGATCTTCCACTGCTGCGTACGAGATGACAGATGGAGAACGCAAAGAGCACTGCTATGGCGCTTGGCTGTATGTCACTGCTCCGGAAGTGTTGCTTGGTGAGACCAAGTACACGTGGCGAGCGGATGTGTGGTCGGCAGGTTGTGTCGCCCTCGCTATTCTTCTCGAGAACGTTCCGTTCCTCCAAGGACCCGACATCAAGGTGCAGCTGGATCTGATCTACCGACTCTGTGGCACTCCTAGTTCGTCGTGGGAAAGCGCGCACAAGCTCCCTCTGTACAACGCATTCCGACCCAAGCACGAATACAAGATGCGATTCCGCAAAACGCTACTAGAGCAGCGCTCCAAGTTCCCCGACTTCCCTGAGGATGCTGTGGAGGTGCTGGAGGCCATGCTTCAGCTGGACCCGTCAAGGCGCTACACTGTGAAGAAGCTGCTCGAGGTGCGGTACTTTGACAGCGTTCGCAGCAGCGAGCGGACGTTCGACTTCAGTGGGCTCCCATCGACCTTCCCAGTGCAGAAGAAGAAGCTCGTGCAGCACTTGCTCAAGTCGAAGGCCAAGAAACACCGAAGTGTTGGTAGCAGCAGCCGAAGCAGCGACTTGGGGCGACCGTCACACCACCACTCCTCACACAGGCATAGCAGTGATCACCATCGCCA